TCGTACGAACCCTTTGTACGAACAAAAGTAAGAGAAATTTAGGAGAAGAATACGAACATGTTCTTGCATGAGGCCCACACTGTATCTAGTGCAGTTGGCTCCAYATTTATGATTTAATCAACTACAGCAGGGTTTTGTATCCTGGTCCTCAAGGACTGCTGTCCTGCATGTTTCTCTGCTCCACACCTGATTTTATTTATAAATGAGTAATTTATTTTATCAAGGAGCAATTATTAAACTTCTGTAGAAGCTGCAGAGATAATTCAGTCACTGAATCAGGTGTGCTGAAGCAGGGAAACAGCCTCACTCCTTACTCCTAAACTATTGTATACTTTTAAAATGAAGAAAGGCATATTTGGACTAGAGTTTGAGTGATTAATTCTTACTGGTCTGTTTTTTTTAAGCTGGACATGTTTTATTTTAGAGGACACCTGTGCAGGTGTCAGTACAGCTCTTACATTCTTCCCACAAAAACATGAACAAGTATTCAAGATGCTCACAATGATTTGGTTAAAATTGTGAGAGAAATTTTGTTGCACAATTTATTATTATTTTTGGATACATAAARCATTGAAGCTATAGATTTGCATGCTGCCTCTGCAAGCAAGCAAGAAAACTGAGAACCACTGAACGTTGCACACAGTCCGAAGACATTTGGTGGACTTTTTAATGCAGCTAGCCCAGTAGCTGCAGCCCAGTGAGAACACAAGCAATGCTGTCTGCTGACTGGGATGAAGCAGGGAAGTGATAAACTGCGTAGAACTGAACTGAAACACATCACACATTCCTAAGGGAACAAATCATCAACAGACTGCCCTCTCACAAAAATGATCACCTACATGATGTCATCTCTTTATTTTTATAAAAAATATTGATTATGATTTGCCACCAACCATATAGGCCTTTCCTTGCAGGATTGACAATTGAGAGGTCATTGCAGGGACTTCCTCCTATCACCAAGTCAAATGGACCCCATTCCTGAATCTGCGAAAACAGCACCACCTTGTGTTAGAATGAAGGAGTGACARGTGAGCTTGAATAAAGAAAAAAATACAAGAAATAAAAAAAAGAGTGGACTCAAAGTGATGCTCTTTCATTCTTCATAATCTACAGTATTTCTAACATTAGCTGCATTTATTTTTCAATCCTTTTTTTATATACAAGTTAACACCACTTCTTGTTGTACTTATCAGAGTTGATTTCACTCTCTAACTGAGACAACAGTGTTAAAACCAAACATATTCAGTTTCAAAAGGTCAAGTTTTAAATGCACAGCTTTCATTTTTTCTGGCCTTTTTGACAATTTTGAAATAAGAAATAATGACAGAAAGAATACAAAAATGTGAAAAGTACTGAATGGAATAAAGATGTAATATTGTTCTGACGTGATTTCTTAAAGAGATCAAATTTTTGTTACAAAAAGTTTTCCAGTATAAGAACAGCAAGAAGCACACCACTACTGAACTTTACTAAACCATCTGAAGGTCAACTTTAAAACCTCTCATTCACCACATGCATAAAGACTGTACTGTAACTCTCTCTCACACACACACACATGCCATGTTTCTCTATCTTTGTGAGGACTTCCCATTTACTTCTATTCATTTTTTTGGTAATTTTATACCCTAATCCTGACCATTTACCCAAAAATTAACCTCACAGGTACCTACCTGACCCTAAAACGAACATAAACTCAATTCACACCTTGGTCCTAAACCCAACCCCCACACCCAAAATCAGCCTCCGAAGTTGTGGGGCCCAAGAAGCACCCCGTCCCCACGAGACTGCGTTTTTAAATATGGGCCCCACGATTAAGAAAAACAAGGACACACACACACACGCACACACGTTTGCACAGCTATCTAATTGGGGACATTCCATTGACTTTCATTACATTCCTACTGACCACAAACCCTAAAATTAACCTAAACCCAACCCCCAACCCACCAATGGCGTTTAAACCAAATGGGGACTCAACTTTTGTCCCCAAATGTAGGATTTTTGTCTTAAAATTGCCCCCAAATGTCACCAAAGCCGTAACCACACACACACACACACACACACACACACACACGCACACGCACACACACA